TGTTGTCGTTTGTGTTGTAAAATATACGTTAACGGTTTTGTAAAGTGTCAAATTCACATATAATGTGTACGGTGGAACGCAGTGCCTCAGTACACGACTTAGGGATACTAACTAAGTTGGTGTTTGTGTTTGTGTTGTAAAATATACGTTACCAGTTTCGTAAAGTGTCAAATTCACATATAATGTGTACGGTGGAACGCAGTGCCACAGTACACGAGATATGTATACTAACTTCCGTCACCCAAACATATAATTTTTTATTGCCTACTTCTTCTCCCAATGGAATAGTATATTTCTGATTAGCAATAGGAATATTATCTCCATTAGATGTATATGTATTTAATTTATAAAGTGGATTTTGGCCAAATTTGGCATAAAGATATAATGATTTGTTCACATCTAGATCCATAATGTCACCACCAATACTTATTTCTTCACCTGATAGTAATTCTTTTGGAGAGATCATAATATTTTCTAATTTTGGTTGATTTTTAAAGGTAAATGATTTAGAATCAATATTGGATTTTACACCATATTCGTCTCTTGCTTGTGCTTTAATTTTATATTTGCCATAATGGGAGTACTCAGCAGGAATTATGACATTATCATTAATTGTTTCACCTGATGTATAGTTCATTGTTTTAACTAATTCATCATCAATTGAAATATATAATTCACCGCTAGAGTCATCTGTAATTGAAACTGAGAAACTGAGTGGTTCATTATCAGTTACAATATTATCCGTGAGTGTTAAGTCTACTGTAGGTGGATCTGTTACATTAATTGTTACAATGTAATGAGTAGTTTCTTCAGGAATATAATCTAAATTGGAGTAACTAAGCCAGAATTCTACATTTCTTGTGCCTTTATTATAGGGTGTCCAAAGGTGTGTTTAGCACAAACCTGAATACTGCGAATAGAAATAAACAAGTTACATATATATAAAGTTTATTTAAATATAATCACCATTGGATTCAATCACGCGTTCGCAGCGATCGATCCAGGCTTGAAAGACACGCTTTAAATCATCATGAGAAAATTGCTCAAATTGCTCTCTTACAAAATTTTCAAGATCATCTGGACTCGCGAATTCGCGTCCTTCAGCTCTCTTTTTTAGCGTGCCGAATAAATAAAAGTCAGAGGGTGCAATATCAGGTGAATAAATTGGGTTTGGAACAACTTTGACATTGTTTTCCAACAAGTAATTCATTACCTTATGACTTTTGTGAACTCTTGAATTATCAAAATGAATTGCAAACTTTTGTTTTTGTTGTTTGGATTTCTCAAACTCATCAGAATTGATAATTTGAGTAAGAACATTGTCAATTAGATACTGAGCATTCATCGTATTAGGTTTTTGAAGAATATCAATTGCGATGATGCCATTCACGCCCCAAAAAACCGACAACATCATCATTGGTGTGTCAATTTTTTTCTTCGGGAATGTTTGCGGATTTTCATCCTTCGGGATCCACATGATTTTGGCTTCTGTTGCATATTGAAACCAAGACTCGTCCCCTGTTACTAAAAAGCGAAACTTCTTGGATTGATACGCACCCAATATAGAGAGGAGCTCTTTCGAAGATTGGACTCTAGATTTTTTTTGAACTGAATTAAGGTTGTGCGGAAACCCAACGTGTATACGCTAGTTTGTAGTTCAAATAATTGTGCAGATAATAATGACTGTTGTACGTGGTATCTTTGTCATCTCCTCTATCCTTCTGAGTGATGCTCTTGGGTCTTCATCTAGCGCTTGAAGAATTGCTTTGATTTTTCTTTGATCCGGCGATTTTTTGTCAATTTTTATGATGGGCGCCTTTTTGTTCATGAAGTGATACATCCTAACATGATACGTTACAGTGGAATAGCTAAGAGCATCCATACCGAAGCATTTTACCAATGTCTCGTAGATTTTTTTACAGTCTTTGCATTTTTTTGCAAGAGCGAGGATGTTTTCTTTATGATTCATTAAAAAATGAAAAAAATCCCGCCAAAATTTCCCGCGAAACCGCCTCTTGTCTCAAAATTCATTTTATATCCCGGCATGGCGCCAAAATACAACATACTCATCATATACATATATTCATATTTTTTATTATATATTTATAATCAGCATATATCTCCTTTAATAGTCTCATATAGAGCGCTGTGCTAAACGCACCTTTGGACACCCTATAGCATCATTTGGTACAGCGAATGTATCTGAAATTGAAAATATTGTTTTTTCGTCTTCATCCAAATGTGGAATACTTTTTGGCTGTAAATTATCAAATTTATAAAATAAAGTTACATCATGGCCATTATTTGAATCAGTGAATGTGCAGTTAAATCCGACTTCAGTTCCTGGTGATACAACATTCTCTTTTAGTTCAACATTAGTTATCTTTGGTTGATTAAAGACAACAAAATGGTAGCTTGTATATGAAACATCACCGCCATCATCGCCTATTGCAGTAATATTTAATACAATTTTAGCTGATTTCTCGAGATTGATTCGGATGTCAAATGTTTTAGTTTCTGCATGGTCATATTTTACTTCTTTATGTTCGAAATCAATTAATAATGGTTCACCATCGAAGTCAGGATCAACTTCTTCCAAAGCTTGGAAAACTAATTTTCCTGAAACATCATCATTAACGTTGATTATTAAATGAATAGATTCATTCCATTCATATATTGTTTTATCAGGATAAGTAACTTGCAAACTTGGAGGAGTTGATATAACATAATCAACATTTTTCTGTTCAGAAACTGAATATCGCGGTGCATTAGAATATGAAATATCTGGAAATTCAGCTACCCAAACTGTTAATTGATTTGCTTGTTCTGAGGCTAGATTCTTAATAGTATAGGAAAATGGTTGCATATCTCCATTTGATGTTATTGATTGAGTTGCATCAGCTCTTCTTGCTGCTCCTTGTCCAACTTTATACATTATGTACAAAACCTTCGAATCATCAAAATCTGTGACTTCTCCTGATAATATTGTACCGTCAGTTTCTTTGATTTTATTCGGGGTCAATAATAAATTAGAAATTTTAGGTTCTTTTCTAAAAGTAAGAATGTCATTCTGTTATATACGAAAACGATAAAAACAGTTTGACAGAAAAGTGACAACTTTACGTGTCAAAAATATAAAAAGTGATATTTTATTCATCATTATCTTCTTCATAATTTATTTCATATTCTTCGTCTTACCAACAAAAGATGGGAATGTGAACAATTGCGGGCAATTTTTAGCCATTTTGGCTTGGAACTAGAGCCTGCGAGGTACATGGATAGTATCAGTACCTCACAGGCTCTAGTTCGCTATATGGCGCCGAGAAATTTTGGTGAAATGTGGTCGCATTTCACCAAAATTTTTTCGGCGCCATAGGATGAATTGGAGGGTGAGAGATATTATTTCATACAATACTACTCTCACCCTCCAATTCCCAGCCAAAATGGCTAAAAAATTGCCCGCAATGTGAACAATTGCGGGCAATTTTTAGCCATTTTGGCTTGGAACTAGAGCCTGCGAGGTACATGGATAGTATCAGTACCTCACAGGCTCTAGTTCGCTATATGGCGCCGAGAAATTTTGGTGAAATGTGGTCGCATTTCACCAAAATTTTTTCGGCGCCATAGGATGAATTGGAGGGTGAGAGATATTATTTCATACAATACTACTCTCACCCTCCAATTCCCAGCCAAAATGGCTAAAAATTGCCCGCAATGTGAACAATTGCGGGCAATTTTTAGCCATTTTGGCTTGGAACTAGAGCCTGCGAGGTACATGGATAGTATCAGTACCTCACAGGCTCTAGTTCGCTATATGGCGCCGAGAAATTTTGGTGAAATGTGGTCGCATTTCACCAAAATTTTTTCGGCGCCATAGGATGAATTGGAGGGTGAGAGATATTATTTCATACAATACTACTCTCACCCTCCAATTCCCAGCAAAATGGCTAAAAATTGCCCGCAATGTGAACAATTGCGGGCAATTTTTAGCCATTTTGGCTTGGAACTAGAGCCTGCGAGGTACATGGATAGTATCAGTACCTCACAGGCTCTAGTTCGCTATATGGCGCCGAGAAATTTTGGTGAAATGTGGTCGCATTTCACCAAAATTTTTTCGGCGCCATAGGATGAATTGGAGGGTGAGAGATATTATTTCATACAATACTACTCTCACCCTCCAATTCCCAGCCAAAATGGCTAAAAATTGCCCGCAATGTGAACAATTGCGGGCAATTTTTAGCCATTTTGGCTTGGAACTAGAGCCTGCGAGGTACATGGATAGTATCAGTACCTCACAGGCTCTAGTTCGCTATATGGCGCCGAGAAATTTTGGTGAAATGTGGTCGCATTTCACCAAAATTTTTTCGGCGCCATAGGATGAATTGGAGGGTGAGAGATATTATTTCATACAATACTACTCTCACCCTCCAATTCCCAGCCAAAATGGCTAAAAATTGCCCGCAATGTGAACAATTGCGGGCAATTTTTAGCCATTTTGGCTTGGAACTAGAGCCTGCGAGGTACATGGATAGTATCAGTACCTCACAGGCTCTAGTTCTCTATATGGCGCCGAGAAATTTTGGTGAAATGTGGTCGCATTTCACCAAAATTTTTTCGGCGCCATAGGATGAATTGGAGGGTGAGAGATATTATTTCATACAATACTACTCTCACCCTCCAATTCCCAGCCAAAATGGCTAAAAATTGCCCGCAATGTGAACAATTGCGGGCAATTTTTAGCCATTTTGGCTTGGAACTAGAGCCTGCGAGGTACATGGATAGTATCAGTACCTCACAGGCTCTAGTTCGCTATATGGCGCCGAGAAATTTTGGTGAAATGTGGTCGCATTTCACCAAAATTTTTTCGGCGCCATAGGATGAATTGGAGGGTGAGAGATATTATTTCATACAATACTACTCTCACCCTCAATTTTAATTACTTAAACTCATTCTATTTTTTTGACATGTAAATGTCACTTTTACTGAGATCTGACACAATGTCAGATCTCTTTTTTTCGTATATAAGAATTCTGATATCCTGATCTTTGATTTTCACCATATGTTAGATAAAAAACTAGTTCCTTATTTCCATAAGAATATGTTTTGATAGGAAATGTGAAAGTTGGATTCAAATCACTTAATGTAAAAGGTGCAGTATATATTTCAGTACCATTTAATTCAAAATGAGCATCTCCGTCTAATTCACCTTTGATTTTAAGTGTCACAGAAATTGAGTCTTTATCATTAAATGATTTTTGTGGTAATGAATATTCAACTATTTCTGGACCATTTGGAGTAATTGTTACGGGTTTTGTAAATACTTTTGATTTAGCATTTCCTGATTCAATCTCTTTTTCATTATCTATTACATAAAATGATATGATTTGATTTTCTCCGGCATTTACAGAAATCTTGATCTTTTTTACTACTGAAACTGGTTTATTTATACCTTTAGAAGAAGTTTCACCAAATTTTTGATAGGTTTCATCATTGAAGCAATAATAAACGTATAAATTCTTGCCAATGTCTTTGTCATTAATAACTATTTTCAATTCAATCTCTTTGTTTCTTTCCATTTTTGATGGAACTATGGAATTGGATTCATCAATAGAAGGAACATGCTTAATGCTAAATGTAAAATTCTTTTCCGCAGATTCTAGATTGAATTCATCAATAATTTTAATTTTCATTGTATATTCTTTTCCATATGTTAAAGTTGAAGGAATTGGTAATTCAACGGGTTTTCCTATTTTCTTTTCATTACCATCATTAACATATTCTGTTAAATCTTGAGTATATCCAAGATTTGAGTCATTATCTATGGAATATGAAATGTTACCTCTTGTATTATCCGTGATTACTAAATATAATGGGATTTTTTCGGTTGTACTATAAATTCGATTTGAAGGAGGATTAAAACTTAATTCAGGTTTATCTGTAAAAATTATAGTCTTATTGACTTTGTTCGAATTTGAATATTTGGGTAAATAAGAATCAATATTATCAAGTTCGATATTTTTAAATGTATCATAATCATATTCACTGACAAAAACTGTTAATGTTTTCCTTCCGACATATCTACCAGATCTTATAGTCACAATATCTGACTCGCTGTCACCAGCAGAAAAAACTGCTCCCATACTATCGACTTCATTATCTATATATGCTATGATAAATAAATCTCTTCCGAGATCCTTATTAGTAAAATCGACTGTTGCTGTCATTGTGCCGCGCGCTGGAACCAAATCATTATCGAGTGCAACAGATTCGATTTTTGGAGGATTTTTAATTGTGAATTCAAATTTCATTGTGCTTGGAACACCAAATTCATCAGTTACAGTAAATAAAATTTGGTATGGTCCTGCATCTTTATTTGATGGAATTTTAATTATTTTTTCGAATGATTTTGATGATTGATTATACTCTTCCAAAGGCGATTCTGAATCAAATAAATTATATGATATATTGCCTGTTGTATCATCTACAACATGATATTTAATTGTAAAACTTTCTTCATGTTGGAAAATTTTGACTTCTGGAACCTCATCTAAGACAATTTCAGGTGTTTCTGTAATCGAAACTCTTTTATCAACTTTTACAGTAGATTGCATTGTAGATGGGTTATAACCATAAATGTGAACATCATATTTATTTGCATCTTTCTCAGGGACATCAAGTGTAAACTCAAAATTATCCTGAGTTTTTGGATTAACTATTGAATAGGTCATCGGTATTTCATTTTCAAATTGAACTTTAATTTGAAAATCATTTGCTGGAGAAATTTTATATGTACCACTAACAGTAAATTTACTCTTTTTAACCATAACATTTGAAATTTGAACATTTTCTAATTCAAACATTGATATGCTTGAAACCGTGAATTCGTAATAGTCTGATTGAATAGGTTCATAATTTTTATCTTCATCAACAATTTCAATATTAAAGTGATAAGTATCAGGATCATAATTTGAAGTTTCTAATGAATCTTGAGTCAAAGTATTAGCAGTGAATTTTTTCTCAAATGAATCTCCACCAAGTATACTAAATATCACTAGATAACTATTGCTTTGACCATTAATTTTAATATTAAATGCTAAATTTTCACCTTGATCAATTGCATTTTTTGATAAAACTAAATCGAATGTTGGCTTTGTTACCGTGTTAATATGAACATTAATAATATTTGTTCCAAAAAATAATTTGTCACTCATTACAACTTGATATTTGAAATTATGATTTCCTGGCTCCGTAATGCGTAATTCTACAGGAATGTTTTGGTTACTATCAAAAGTAAATGTTCTAAGCACTGTCCAATCAAATGTTGATCCTTTGTTTTGAAGTAGTTTATATTCCTTATTGGCAATCAAGCTTTGAGTATTGAGATTAAAACTTACTTGTTCTGGGGAATACTTATAAATATCTGTTTTATCATTCTCAACATTTAAAGTTGGGAAGTTTCCATTTGTGAAGGAAATTCGGATGGCATGTTTTTTTTCTTCATTTTGATCTATTTTTTGATTCCAACGAAATCCAACAGCAAATGAAAAAATGTACATATCTGGTTCTGTGCTAGCTTCTTCTTCATTAAATTCAGCGTCATAATGATCCTCATCAAAACTATCAGCGAAATACATTTGATCTGGATATGTATATTCAGAATTAGATCCATCAAGATATATAATTCCAAAATAACTCTGATCGAGATCGGATATTTTAATTCCTCTTCCTTGTTTTGTTTTATATGCTCTTGAAAATTCAGTTTCACCAAAAGATACAATACTATAGCAGCTCAATTGGAAATTTAATTTTTCTGAGCCTGTATTAATAACTCTATGAACAATTTAGGTCGACAATAAAATCCTTCACCATTTGAAAATTTAAATCCACTATCAGTTTTAATATTATACCAGCCTGTGTCTTCGTTGGGTTCTACGATTCTAATAGATATGGCGAATATAATTGAAGAAAACATCTATAATAGAATTGGTGGATATTTTTGAATGTGATATTTAAATTTGAATATGCTTTGAATCTATTCAAAATTATATAAACATAATTGATATGGATTTAATATATATATAAAAATAGTAGATAATGCAGATAGATATTTCTCCCTTGAATTTGTTGACTTGGATTACTTTTAAATAATAGTACTAATATAATAAATTTATAAAAATGACATTTTCATTGAATTGAAAAATAATAATTTTGCCATTCTTGAGAATGAAATATAAAAATTATATATAACGATATATTTTATATATGATGAAATTTTTAATGATATTGAAAGTATTTTGAAAATTCAATAGTTTTTTTGAAAATATTAATGATTTTCAGTGGGTCGACTCAATAATAAAAGGAGCCGCATGCGATTTTTTATAAAAGGCTGAAAGTCGGATTATAGAATCTTCAATATAATTTATAAAAAGAGTTAATAAACTCCTGTAATGAACAAAAATAAAAGCAAATTTGAAGATCGAAAAGTATGATTTTGAGGAATAGCTTGAGAAATTATAGAAGTCTTATATCGATATATCTCTTAAATTGCATTTTTTAGGCATATGAAGGATGTCGGAATTAATTTAATATTTAAAATTTTAATATTGGCAATGTTTATCCATACAAATTAACAAAAATATGATTTATCTATAGGAAAATGCAATTTAATTGCATGACCCAAAATTATTTCACGCAGTTTGATATTCAACGTTATTATAAATCTCGGTCATTAATAAAATTATAATCGGGTGCTCAATTGCAAAAACAAAATGTGAAATCTTAGAAAAACAATGAATTTAAAAAATAAATTCGGGATTAATAAGTTATAATATATGTTAGGACCTGTTATTATAGATGTAATTGAGATTAACTGAGTTACGGCAAAAAAAAATTCAAAAAAAATTAGGCAATATTATTGATACGATTTACAAAACAATTCAATGTCATTATTCTACTTATTATTGGATAAAAGAAAGACAAAGTTGTCCAATATTTAATTTGATGATAAAGGTCTTTTCTGAATTTTTTATGATATAAATCATTTTCACTATATAGAAGGTATTGGCAAACTAGATAGCTATAAAATAAGGAAGGGATTTATAATGGACTTACTCCTCTAAGCTTTGCATGACGAATTGAACAAACTTTCTACCTGATAAAGAATAAGGAAAGAGAATAATTTATTTAGAAAACAATTAGGTCAAAAGAATGTGAGTTAGACTTTTCATTTTTTGAGATTCATAATGAAAATCTTCAATATTTACCAAGATTTCAATTCAGATTTAGTTCTGCAATTTTACTGCTTTACTGTGAAGTCATCTTACTAAATGGGATAATAATTTGTTTTGAGCACGATTATTATAAAAGTATGAATGGATATTCAAAATTCTCAAATTTATACAAGATATTCCTTACATCATTCATTGTTATTATCTTGCTTACAATAAAACTCTCATACTGATGATTTGCAAGGACATACTGCAAAAACAAGGAAATCAGAAAAAATATTTTTAAAAAAGCAGTGTAAAAATTGATGATTTCTATGGATAAATCACATTAAATTGTTCAAGCAATTATTTTGTATCAATATTTATAAATGAATGAAGCCATCCTCAACCGCTCCATTGAAAAAATAAAGTAAAGTTAGTGATTATCGTCCAAAAAAATGAACGTTCCACATTCCGGCTTACTTGTTAAGTGTTTAATAGGTTCTCTATGCGTTTTATCAATAATTTCGGCTATCACTATGAGCCAAGTTGTCAAATCTTTCATAGAACTTAAGCATAAATCAGAATATAAAACTCCAGTCGACGAATACGCTCAGAAATTCCTTGATCAAAGAGATGCACTCAATCTTATCCCAACACGTTATGCAGTCGATAAATCATTCCTTCTTCCACCTTCAAACCAAGCTCGCCGCGGTGTTTGCTGGATTTTTGCTACCCTTTTCATGCTCGAGTCCCAGTACCGCGCCAATGGTATCAAGAAAGGCTTCCTTAAGGAAAATCAATACGTTACCTTCTCAAAGCAAGCATATGGCGCTTATCTTGGCAATAACTGCAAGGAAAACCCATCATTACCTGTTTGCAAACATGGTGGTCTTGGCAAGCCAACTAATGATACAGACGACCAGCTCGTTGACTCAATCTATTACTTCCAAAAGGCATTTCCAAAATTAAATGCTTCAATTCTCCCAGAAACCGTTTGCCCATACATTGAAGAAGGTGGTGAATCCACAGACTTCAAGTGCGACGGAATGAATGAAGCAATCAAGCAAAATCCAATCGGATTCAATATTAAGTCCTACAACTACGCCGTCAACGTTAACAACACCAAGAGATTACTCTACAAGGCCAAGAGACCACTCGGCATCGGCGTACCAATCGGAGAAAACTATTTCTTCGCTCCATGCGATTCCTCCAGCTACAGCACAGATGATGAATGCGTTAAGCAGACTACACCATGCCCAGCCGGTTACCAAGCCAAATTCTGCAAGAAAGTCACAATTGAAGGCAGAATTTATGATGGCACTTTTTCATTTATTAACGATGCCAACAGATCATCATTCCTTGGTGTCCATGAGATGGACATTGTCGGCTACAACGACGAGTGGGTCTATACAAGCAAATGGGACACAGATAAGTCCATGGCCTTAATGAAGGGCGGTTTCATCCTCCACAACTCATGGCGCGAGGTTGGCCACTCCGTAGACTTCCTTCTCGGCAAGAAATCCTACGAAAACGAAATGGTTACATGTCCAAATCATAAAGTTTCACAATACTGGATCCCAGTCAGCTACTCCTGCTTCCAGGAGAAGAAGGATGTCAGCCAGTGCCTCTCTGGCTCATCATGGGTCCGTGGAAAGGCAAATGTCAACAAACCAGATCTTCTCAAGTGCACAAACGAAAAATTCTGCGATACAAACCTCCATTACGTACTCGCCTATACCGATGATGAAGGTGCTTTCACTGTCCAGCACCTCTTCTCCGGTTTAGATTTGACAAGAATGGCTACAATCGATGCCGATGGAAATGTCAACACAATCTTATACGACAAGCTTCCATTCCACTACTTGGGACGCGTTTTCCAGCCAATTGACGTTGTTGACAACAATCAAGACGATTGCGGCTACTTCATGTTCCCATACGACGCTATCGACATGTTACAACGCAAGGACTGGGATAAACTCGACTACTTCCACTCATCAGATATCGAATTCGAGTTCCCTGATTACTCATACGCAGCAAACAAGGCCAAGTACCCACAATACAACTACACCCTCCTCGAACAGTCCACACACGAATGGAATCCAGTACCATTTGATGGTCCTCTTCCATACCAGTACGTATTTTAAAATTTTATACAATTCAACTTCAAAAACAAAAAAGTTATTTAAAAATAAAAGTTTATTTCTTACTAAATTATAATTTAACTTGTCATTTAAGGAAACAATTTCAAATTTCTGACATTCTCTCAAAAATTTTTGACACTTTTCTTAATTTCACATTTTTCTAATGTCAAACTTTGAATTTCTTAAGGAAAAAAAAGTTATTATAAATCATTATATAGTGCATAATATGGCCGTTATACCTTTTTGTTATTAAAATAAAGATTTGTTGATTTATTGCACTTGTGATGGTATACATTCAAATTTCTGACATTCTCTCAAAAAAAATGACACTTTTCTTATGGGTGCTCTTACCACTTTCTGACACTCTCTCAAAAAGGGATATACGGGCGTGAAGGGGCATAGAAAATAAAATCTTATACAAGAAATTTGAGAGTGTGTCAGAAAGTGGTAAGTGCACCCTTTAATTTCACACTTTTTTAAAGTTAAACTTTGTATTTTTGAACGGAAAAAAAAGTTCACTATATAGTGTATAATATGGCTGTTATACCCCTTTTTTTGTTATTAAAATAAAGATTTGTTGATTTATTGCACTCTTGATTGTATACATTCAAATTTCTAATATTCTCTCAATTATTGATCTGGAAAAAGTTGTTATAATTCAATGTGGAGTGCTTAATAATGGCTGTTATTGTTTTCTGCTATTGAAAGAATGATTTTTTAGTCTAAACAAATCTTCTTGGCAAAATCGGCATTTGACAAGTTTCTAAAGAAATCATAATTTTTCTGTTAGATCTTATTTAAATTCTTTACGATATTGAAGCTCCATCGTTATTCTTTTCAATATAATGAAGTAAATTGTTTTCCCAAATGACTAGTCGCTCATAGAGACTATTCGAAATGTATGACAAAATATATTCCATTCCTTCTGGAAATTTTAAGTGCTGGAATGTTTGATTCATTTTACTCGTTCCTGAAGCAATCAATATTTTCCAGAATCGAAATTTGCAAGCGACGCTCAGGATAGATGTCCTGTTTGAATCGAGCAAAGATGTATAAAAAAATTTGAATCAATTACATGCCACCACATTTGCATGGGTCATTTATAGAAACTCGTGCATTTCCTTAACAATATAAATGGACAAAAAAACTATCTTTCGACTAGAATGGACTGAAATTCTGCTGAAACTTAATATGATTTATCATATGATTGAAAGCATTTTCATATATAAATGAATTTACAATTACAGTGATGCGAATTTGGGATATTGCAAGTATAATATTTTCATCAAATATATTGAGTTAATATTCAAACAAATTTATATTAATTGTATTTTGAACAGATTTAATCTATCAAACAATACGCATGACTTAGTCATTAATTGTAGTGAATGATGCGGCTTTTTTAATTTGAGTTTATATCTTCAAGTGAGAGTAATTTTACTTTCCAAATAGCAATATTCAGTATATCAATTTGACTTTTTCCAGAGCCTAAGATATTGTTATTATTAATGAAGATAAACATTAGCTCTATTATTTTATATTTAACTTTGGTTTTAAGATATTTGGACATAATAAATCATAATTAATTTCCTAACAAAAGAGAACTAATGCATCAAATACAGAGAATTTGCGAATTAAAAAATAAAGATTATCAAACACCAAGTATTTTTGGTGAATTTTTATGTAACTAAGATTACCGCAGTACTGGCAATCTATGAGATGAACTAAAGATCTTATAAAAAAATAAAGTTTTCAAAATAGCGTCTTTTGCAATATCTACTGAATAAAGATGTATTTCATGTGGAAATCGAAATTGAGCGTGGTTGTGATGACGATAAAAATTATGATGCAAAACCAGATCATATTTGCACATTGAAAAGCAATTAAAAAAAATTGGATAACTTGCTTGTATTCATATATATATCATTATTAAGTAATATTTAACTTCAGGCTTTTCTATTCAAAAAAATTGATTGTACTCCTTTGTAATGAAATTATTGCTTTGATATATTCCCGATAAAATTACACACTTTTTATTCTTATTATTTTTTCTGAAGATCAGAATCTTATTATGTTTTCTTTCTTTTTAACTTCCGTTATCTGCGAAATTTTAACTGGTGAACAAAGAAGCAGTGTTTACAAGAGCAAAATATATGGAGATTTCACAGTTGAAGATTGTTATTTTAAAAGCGTAGGCGGATATATGTCAAAAGCACCTCTATACGTCGGATCAGATTCCACAGATTATAATGTAAAGCTATTACGTTCATACTTTGTCGATTCTCGCAGTGATCCATCCGGATCTTTCTACTTTTGGAGTAAAATGAGATTACAAATAGAAATGGTAGGTGTCGAGAAATGCTATTGGGGTCAAGGAAAGACTAGCGCTGCTGGAAGAGTTGATTTGAAACAACCATTTACATTAAATATGTCTTCATTCTCAGGTGACTATGGTGGCACTAAAAATCTTAACTTAGCTGCTGCATGCACAGTCACATCCATAAACATGTCAGGTTGCCAATCCGATGGTGGCTGGCTTACATATTCCTACGGAAATTTGTGCATTGGTAATGCACCTGATCCAGTAACTCTTAAATACTCAAACATTGAATCGTGCGAGTCAAACTGCGGTGTCCTATACTTTGACAAGACGCAAGCATCAAATACAGTCAGTTTTTGTAATTTTATCAAAAATACGATGACAAGTCAATGTCTTATCTATGTAGAATCAGCAGTTTCTTCCGAAACTACAACACTTTCCAACTGTGTTGTTAACGGAAATATTCTTTCAGAAGGCGTTTCAGCTTTCTGGGGAAAGACTAAGCTGATTATTGTTGAATGCACTGTTGACAGCTCCAGCTTCTATGAATCCGTTGAAGTCAAGAGCTGGACAGTTAAGAATGCAACCGCAATTCCAATGACTCTCTACGAAACAGTCAGCATCAAAGCTGTCATTGGCCAGAATGCAACATTCACTCCAGTTATTACGCCAAAACCAGCAGATCCATATTCTCCAAATTCACCAGGTGAACAAAAGCCAGCAGGAGACGGAACAAACACTACAAACTCAACAAGTGAAGCAAAGGAAGGATTTGCAAGCAAGAAATTAGGCCCGCTCCCAATGTGGGCTGTAATTGTAATCGGTGTCGTGGTTGTCGTCGCTGTTGTTGCAGGATATGTTGTTTATAGGATCATGACAAAGCCACAGAAGCACCACCATCATATTCATAAGCACAAACATCGCAGCCAACACCATAATTACGACCAACCTCTTGAAGCTCAAAATTCAGAGCAACCTGATGAAGTTCCTAATGCAGCTGATTAAGTTTATATCATTATATGATTTGTTAATACAAAAACATGATATTAATTAAAAAAATAAAATTTATTAAATCTTTGTTTTTTCATTGTAATCATTTCTTAGAGTAGAATGTCCTTTCCACTACAACCCATGTCCAAAAATTGTCTTCTGAATCAAATTCTCATTGAAATCCCTAAAAAAGGTGACTTAAACTATGAAAATCATGGATTTCTTATGGCCTTAGCATGTATTTTATTAACCATAATGCAAAATATTATAATGTTCAGCATTCTTTCCATAAAATTTTATGGTTCTTCAGAATTTTCATAAAATTTATGCAGAAAGTTGTATCGATTCTTGATACTGAATCTAATTACTCATGAAAATTTTTAAAATTTGTGGCCATCTGAACCTTTTCAAAATGGGTAAATCCAAGGCATGCGGTCGTCTCGCAGCTCGCAAGCTTCGTCTTGCACACAAGTCAAACCTTTGGGCTTCTAACGCCTACCGTCGTTCTCTCGGTACTTCAATTTACAAGACACCACTCGAAGGTACATCAATGGCTTCTGGCATTGTCGTCGGCAAGGTTGCCGTCGAAGCTAAGCAGCCAAACTCAGCTATTCGTAAGGCTGTCCGTGTTCAGCTTAAGAAGAACTCAAAGGTTGTTACAGCATTCGTTCCACGCGATGGTTCCCTTCGTCTTATTGATGATAACGATCGTGTTCTCATTGCTGGTATGGGTCGTTCTGGCCGTTCTGTCGGTGACCTTCCAGGATGCCGCTTCAAAGTTATCAAAGTCGCTGGTTTCTCACTCCTTGCCCTCTGGCTCGGAAAGAAGGAAAAGCCGCGCAGCTAAATTGTCAGAAGACTCTCTTACAATAAAATGATAAAAATTTTTTGATAAAAAATACAAAAATTTCGAAATTACAAGATGTGTTATTATCAATTTCTATTTGTTATTAGATGGATATTAATACTACAATATGAATTTTGAGAATTACAATATGATTAGAAATTTTTCAAAAATTATCAAGTCAAAAACTTGTAAAAAATGATGCTTATTCTTTTTATGTGTAATTATATTGAAATGATCCATTCTCTACCTAATGTTAAATAAGATATTCAGACTTAATAAAATTATGCACAACATCATAGCAGTTAAGATTAAATAGAGATTACCTAGTGTTTGCATGGATGGTAACATAATTTACAAGTATGATAAGTCTTAGTAATCAAAATTCAATTCAATAATTTGATTTTCCACATAAATGATATTAAATTACTGACCTTTTTCCCATTTATATCTCCTCAAAGTGTCAACAGAAATAGGAATGGCCTCTAAATAAAGATATTTCACATTCACAAAGCATAATAGAAAACCTGACATCTCTAAAAGAGAAAAAAAAAATTAAATGAATATGAACTTTAAATATGAAGGCGGAGGTAACACCGAACTTGCCCAATTAAGGGATAAATTAGATGGAAATGACCCAAGTAAGAGAAAGGATGCCGCAAAATATGTTGTTTCTCTCATGAGAGCCGGAGAAAATATGCAAAATGTCTTTTCAAGCATGCTTCGTTGCGTTAAAACAGATGATATCGAACTTAAAAAACTTGTTTATTTATATTTAGTTCATTACTCTCCACACGAACCTGAACAAGCAATTATGGCAGTAAATACTTTCATCAAAGATGCTGATGATTCAAACCCATTAATCAGAGCTCTCGCTATTCGTAATATGTGCAGAATCAAGCTTGAAAATGTTGGTGAACACATGATTCAACCTTTAATGAAATCATTGAAGGATCAAGACCCATATGTAAGGAAGACAGCAGTCTTTGGTGTTGCAAAACTTTACGATTTCATACCAGAATCTGTCGAAAATTCAGGTTTATTCAAAACATTACTTTCTTTACTCAAAGACGACAATCCATTAGTTGTTGCCAATACCACAGCTGTTATTCTTGAAATTAATGAACGTAGATCTACCCCAATTTTCCACTTAAACAGTGAAACAATTGGCCCAATGTTATCAGCGATTTCTTCATGCTCCGAGTGGTGCCAAACAACACTATTAGACTCGCTTTCTCATTACAAACCAGAAACTCACGAAGATGCTACATTTTTAATCGATCGTCTCATTCCATTCCTAAAGAGCTCTAATCCAGCCGCCGTTATAGGCTCATTCAAATGCATATTCTTATTTATGGAGCTAGATCAACGTAATCCTGTCGATTTATTCCCACAAATCATTCCTCCATTTATTACCTTAGTTGCATCAAGCGACAACGAAATACAATACGTAGTTTTACGTACTCTTTCACTTTTCGTACTCAAATATCCGAAAGCTCTCGCAAAAGAGTACAGAATTTTCTTCTGCAAATACAACGATCCAAACTACGTCAAAATAGAAAAACTCGACATCCTTGTTACTATTTGCAGCTCGCAGACCGCTCAAATGGTACTGGATGAGCTCCAGGAGAACTGTAATTCAGTTGATGTTGCTTTTGTTCAAAAAAGTGTCAGAGCCATTGGCCAGATTGCCGTTAAGATCGAAGCATCAGCTCGCCGATGTGTAGACATCCTTGTCCAGCTTGTACAAGGCAAAGCGGACTACGCTCTCGAAGAAGCAATAATTGTTATGACAGATATCCTCCGAAAGTACCCAGGAGTGTTCGAAAACGTCATTGGAACAGTTTGCCAGTCCTTGGAGAACGTAAAAGCACCGCGCGCCAAAGCTGCAGGAATTTGGATTCTTGGAGAGTACAACAGACTCATCGAACACGTTGATATGTTGTTAGATCCATTCCTTGATACCTTCCATGACGAAGAACCGCTTGTACAACTCCAGTTACTCGTTGCATTCGTAAAAGTTTACTTAGAAAAGCCGGATCAAACGAAAGACCAGTTACAGTTCATCTTAAACGAGGCTACAAAGGCTGGAAATGTACCTGATGTTCGCCAAAGAGCACTTCTCTACTGGAAATTGTTGATGAGTGAAGGAAATGTCGCAAAAGATGTTGTTGTGTTCTCGAAGGATACTGTTGTTCACTCAGGTGTATCATATACTGATGAAGTTCTTACAGAACTTATCAGAAATATGGGATCTGTATCCGGAGTATTACATATCGTCCCTGGCGACTTCATTAAGAGACAGAAATTCGTTCCAGATGATAATAATGACACAGATGATGAAAGAAATTACAAAATGCTTAAAGTTTGGATCAAAACTCCACAAAATCAAACTTTGGAGTGCAATTTCCTTTCATTAGAAATTGATTACGATCCAACAAGCATATACTTAAGAATTACAAACAAAACACCTGAAAAATTGTCAAATTTGCAATTCGCGATGAGTCGTAATAGCCAAGGACTCATAATCGCCGGTGCACAGTCATTCCCGCCGTTCATTGAGCCACAACAGTCTGCTACAGCTGTTATCCCTGTAATGGTTGACCAAACAACCGTTGATAGCCTTGCACAACAAGTGCAGTTAGCTGTTAATACTAACGCTGGCGTTGTATTCTCGGCTGATACAATCCCTTCAATATATGTCTAAAGTTAAATAAAATTATGAATTTTTTTTTTATTGTGTTAAATTCAAATTAACTAATGCCAGTATGAAATATTTGTAAATGAAATTATAAACATAAGAACATTTTAGATTTCATTAAAAAAAATATTATGATCTCAAAATTATATCATAAAAACTAACCTAAAAAATGTATTGACAAATCTGACTCTCAATAGCTAAAAGAAATATGATATTAAAATGCAATATATATGATAATGAGTTTATATTTATATGAATTGTATGATAAAATTAATGATGATATTGGAATAAATTCAAGTTATTAGTTACTTTTAATCTATACAATATAAATGAAGAATATTATTCATTCATTTACTAATGTTTGATTGATATCAAATTGATTCTTGAAATTTATTAACTTTATCATAAGAAAAGTTTGTGAATAAAATTGACTAATGGTAATAAACATATGTCATAGATGAATGCTAGTAGATTCAAAATGTAACAATGTTATAAACATAATTTTTTAATAGTTAAGTTCAGATGTGAACTCCGCAATTAAATTATTGACAATTTCAGGAGCTTCTGTAGGAGGGAAGTGTTTGAACTTCTCTTTTAATATGTACTTGATATTTGGAAGAGTATTAACAAATTCATGAACAAATTCTTCTGGCGAAATATTGTCATCCTTCGAATGCAATATCCAAACTTTTTGGGTAACCAATTTCTTGACTTCTTCAGTAGTATGATAGGATGGGTTGTGTGACTTTTTTTGTTGCATCTATATATAGACGATACATTAAAATATTTATATACTAAACACATTTTAAAAAATTAACATTAATTTTAAAATAATTTATCTTTTATCTTTTATAAAAGAAGCTATATATAGATGATGTCAGATATTCCGCGATTAATTAAACATTGTTTAAATCCTGAATGGAATCAATGGAGTCATAATCAAAGACCTCATAAACGAGTAAAAGAAATTAGAAATAATTATTTTCATGAATAAAAGATTCACTACCATAATGAAATAAAAAATAAAAAAATAAACTTTAAAAATTCATGTCTCAGAATCAACATTGAACTTTAAGAAACTAATGATTATTTGAATTTATGATATCAATTATTTGATTTATTCTTTCTTCAATCTCTTCTATTCTTTTTGTTAAATCATCAATTTTCATTAATGAGGTGATTCTTGATTGAGGAATAGATTTCAAACTAACCACTCCTTTCATTTTTGAAATTTTGAATCCATCAACTTTAAACATTTTATAGTAGTATATGTGGAAGGGTTTTGTGACTTTTTTTGTAAACGTAAGAATTCATACAATATTGAACGATTTTGTATCATTTTTTTTAACATATGAAGTAAAAAATGTATGATTCTTACGGTTTTTATTCTTACGTTTTTGAATAAATCAAGATTTAAAAAATTGACTTCTTACGTAAAATTAAAACTAAGTTAAATTTATTTTTGAATAATTTATTTTTTATTTAATGATAAATGAGTATAACAACTAATTCATTGAAATCTTTAAAGTTCACTAATTCAGAATTAGAAAATATTTTAGAAAATTTTGGAGACGGTTCTTATCCAACATATATGCAGAATGTGAAAGAGTTTTCCAGATTGTTGAATGAATTTAAATATAACGGACCAATTACTAAAAAGGCTATAATGAGATATTTATATCCCAAAAAAGTTGAAAAACAGGAGAATATTCCTCTTTATGGTCCAGAGGACCTGGGCTCAGAGAGCCTTGAAACACCTCCTGAATATTATGAAGAAAAAATTAAACAAGATGAATATTATAACGATGAGATTGAGAAATTGGAACAATTAAGAAATGAAATAGATGAAAGAATTAAGGAATTGAGAAATGCTGAGAATGAAGTAGAGGGTTTAATGAATATCCCAGCTTCAGAATCAGAAGTTCAAAAATCACATGAGGAAAGATATAAAAATTACTTTTTGGAATCTACTAAAAATTTATTAGATGGTGATATTGACGAAACACTTTCAGAAGAAGGCACAAAATTTATTCATAAACATAAGCTTCAGTTTATTGACGATGGAGATTATCCATGTATATTACTTTCACCTCCTCTTGATTCTGAAAAATTCAAAAAAGCACTGAAAAACGTGACATATGCAACTAATACGATTAAGAAAGAAGATCATGATATTTACACAAATTATTATTTAAATAAATGTACAGGTGTTGATAAAGTTTTTGATTTGTTAGATAAAATATCAAAAGAAACAATTGGTACATATAAAATTTTATGCGATTGTGGTTTCATTATTGAAGATATCAATAATGTTTCATATGAAAGAACAGCACCGAAGGAAGACGAAGTGGAAAGGTCTATACCATTCGTTATTAAGAATATAAAAGATATGAAAACTTATAAACATTATATTTATTCATTTATTTCAGAAAAAATGGAAGCAACCCATAAAACATCTTCTCATCATTTTATAGCTATTCATACATTCCTTTTCAAAGTTGTGAAATTAAATAAGACAGGAATTAGATTTAATGTATCAGGGTACACATTCTTGAGTAAATTAAAATGTATTCATCACGTCGCAGATGATAAAAATTTATGTGTTCTTAATTCATTTTATGGGCTTTAAAAAATAAACTTTATTTTTATTTATTTTTTAATTTTTTTTATTCTTACATAAATGAACAAAAATGGAACAGCTAAAATGAATGATAATCAAATTAGAGCCGAAGGTAGAAGGTTATTTAAACGCTTCTATAACATTCCTGATGGTGTTAATCCTAAAACTCGTAGAAGTTATTTAAATGAAGCAATAGATGCATATGAAGGGTTTGACATTTCATCAGAAAGTGAGAGGTTAGCAAGAATGTTAAACGTTAATATTGATTTTTATTATTGTGACCCTCAACCAGAAGACGTAGACATAAATAAGGTAGACTTTCCATTAGTGGAATCAATAATGATAGATCCAGAATTTGAAACAGTAAATATTTTATTAACACAGAGTCCATGTGGAAAACTTCACGCTGACAGAATAACAGACGTTGAAGCACTCACAGGATATAAAGTTTGCCCCTTTTGCAAAGAAGAAGTATATTCTATCCGTGATGATCCAGAAAGGAAAAACCAAAGAAGATTTTTAAAACATTGTGAGAAATGTAAAGAAAATAATGGAAGATTAATTCAAGACGTTCAATTGCAAAACACACAACAACCATATGCACCACATATTACGAAACAGAAGATATATCAATGGCTATTAGCACATAATTTGCAGGAATATTATAAAACCGACAAGATATTATATTACTTTTGACTTCGAAACATTAGAGACTAAAGAAGAATTACAACTTTCTGAGTGTGCAACTTTAAACGCTTACTTAAAACCATTTATGGTATCATCAACGGTTAAATTAAACGATAAAACATATACGAGGAATTTTTGCTTAACTTCGAGTGATTCTTTTATTCTGATTGGATTGAATTTTTATTTTCAACCTGTTCATTAGTTGCTAAATCAAATATTGAACAATATGAAGAATTAATGAAGCCGCAAAATACATTAAATGAAAAACAGAAGGAAGCATTTAAAGAGCTTTTAGATGAAGAATTAATAAAGTGAATATCATTGGTTTTAATTCGGGAAAGTTTGATTTAAATTTAATTCTTCGTGATTTAAATACTGCAAAATGGAAGATAAAATCAATGCTGGGTTCTTCTTCTCAATTTAAGCAATCATTGTAAAGAAAACAAACTTCCATATGAATTAAGATTTATTGACATCAGAAATTATATAGCGGGTGGAACATTAGACCAATTCACTCAAGATTTCGGAAACAATAAATCACGTGTTAAATCCTTTTTCCCTTATCAATTCATCACATGGGAGAATTACGAAGATGAATTATATAAAAAGGAACCATTCACTCAAGATTCATTTTATTCAGCATTAACACAAGAAACAATATCCGATTCAGATTATCAAATATATCTCAATGATGCTAAAAATTTTAAGAATAGATTAGAATATTTTATTCATTATTGCAATAAAGACGTTGAAATTATGATTGACCCAATTGATAAAATTATCGAAGAAACATTTGTTTATAAAATTGACATGCTTCATAATCTTTCTTTATCATCGAATGCATCAATGATTCGTTACGCGTTAGCATATAAGAACTTCAATCCTAACGAAACATATCCAGAAGAAGAAAATGTGGAATCAAGTTTTGAATTAACAAAAAAGTATTGGAAATATAAAATTGAATCATATAAGAAACAAGATGAAAAAGCAGAAAGGGATACTAAAAACAATGTTTCAATGGATGACTATCAATACTATCACGATTTAATCCTTTCATCTAAATGCAAAATGTGTGGTAAAGCGTTTACATATGCAAATAAACCAACATTGGATAGAATCGATAATGAAAAACCACATACCAAAGAAAATTGTCAGTTAATGTGTTGTTATTGCAATGTCGTAAAATCAAATAAAGATGAAGATGTTCAACGTTTAAGAATCAATTTAAGAAATTATGCATTAAAAAATAATTTACCAATGACTTTAGATTCAGTTGAAGCTTATCACATTCTCCGTAATGGAATTACTGGTGGTCTATCAAATGTTCAACATCGTGTTAATCTTAAAGGAATCACGCACATTAATAAACTTTCATATAATCCAGAAACTAAAACTGTATCAAATGAGGACACCACCAACATTATGACTCATTTCGTTGGAGTTGACTTTAATTCATTATATCCTTCATCATTTTCATCTAATCCTCATGATTTCATTCAATATACTGACCATAAAATGTATATGCCGGGAAGATTGAATGGTGTTATCATTTGTGATACAGCAACAAAGAAAGCAAAAGCACTGGGAATAATTAAGAAGAAAAATACTTTATTCGTGGCTGAAGTAAAGGGTCACATTGATGAAAAATACATTAATGATTACATAAACTTTTTACCGATAATAAGAAACTTAGATATTATCACAGATGAAAAAACAATTGGCAGTTTTATGTATAATTACATGAAATCAAACAATCTACCAGTTGACCAGAAACAGAAAATTAACTCAGTTAGCATCAACACACAACCAATATCAACCATTTTCTTCTTATTATCTTTGGTATCTAATAGACAGATTTCATTTTATCATCGATGATATTCAATCAATTTTAACATTTACAAAAACACTTGTTTTAATGAATTTGCGAAAATTTATGAACGAAAGACAAAAGGCTGAATTAGAAGGAAATAAAGGAAAAAGTTTATTTTGCAAGATTTCACTTAATGGATCATATGGTTACGATGCAATGAATACACAAAATTACGCAAAGACTAAAATAATGAATGCACAGAAGCACGCGTTGCATGTATGTCAAATAAGTTTAAAAACATAAGAGAAATAGGAAGATACATATCAAGTGATGCTTAAAGATAGATTTTATAGATGTGATACATGTTTACAAGAGGCATTCTTCACTTTAGATAATGCTAAATACTGGTATTTGGTTTTCATTTATGATTTTATGTATAAATGCATGGATGTTAATCGTTTTCATTTCATTGAAGGTGATACTGATTCATCTTATTGGGCAATCGCTGGCGACCCAAATCTTCCTAACACTCAAGCATTTCAAGCAATTGTTACCGATAAACAATTTTATGATAAAAACATTTTCAAATTCGCACCTTTTGATTTCTTCTGTTTTGATGAGAAATTTAAACCTAAATTAAAGAATAAAGCTGAAGAAAAAGCACATGAGAAGAAGTTATTGGGTTTAGCAATTGAGAAACAAGGTGATAACATGGTTGCTTTATGTCCTAAGTGTTATACATCATTCAACGGTTCAATTGATGGAAGTGATTTTAAAAAGATTGCACAAAAAATGAAAGGTGTTAGTTTACGACAAAATAAACAATTAACACCTAAAAATTATTTGGATATAATAAATGATAAATTGATATTTGATGGTCAGAATATTAATTTACAACTTAAAAATGGGTCAATGACTCGCTTAACAATTGGTAAGACTGCATTAACAGGAGCACACACTAAGGCTGTATGTTGTGAAAATGGATGTTGTATGCCATTTATTTAATAAAATACCACAGAAGAGACAAAAGGAACCGTTAATGATGGTTTTGATACTATGATTCAAAGAGGTGGGCACCCTTAAAACATTGATTTTATTTTTATATAAATGGATAACACAGATTTAAAAATTTTAATTGATGATTTAGTATTTAATCAAAATTTTCTTAATTATTATGATTTAAAAGCATATCTCCAAAAATATAATAATATAACGGGTGATGATATGGAATATTATTATCCATATTATAAAAATGAAATTTTGAAATATCATAATAAAATAATTTCTGAAATTAAAGACAAAATTAAAAATAATGAATATAAAGGGAAAAACTAAATCACAACTTAAACAGTTGAAAGATTTCAAAAATAAAGTATTAACAGAAGAAGATATTGATGAATTATATAAATTATATAATCCTGAGCCGCAAAAACAAAAGGAACAAAACACCCAGGTCCTTCAGACCATAAATGATGCACAAGCTTTAATTTATGATTCATTAGTTAAACCATATTCAGCCCGACTTTTAAATGAAGATCAACTTTTGGAATTCATCCTTCAACATAAACTCGAAGCGGGAAAGTATATCAAACCTTTATATACAGCATATTTAAAACAAATGAATAGAATACATCCAGAATTAATGAAGGAAGGAATGAAATCCAAAATCAAAGCAGATAAAATTAAACCACTTGCAACACCAAAACCTCCAACGACAGTACCGCCTCCTCCTTCAGTTAATCCTTCATCATTCACTTTATTATATCCATTTCAAACATTAAGAAGCAAAAAGATTTTAAAAAGGATTTCAAGATATTAAATAAACCAATTGACCCGAAAATTCAACCATTAAAGGAAAAATTTAGTCGACCTTCATTTGCTCCATATCCATATTCATACGAAATCGATCATCTGGAATATTCAAAAGGAAACGTTACTTATTTATTTGCCATTAACATTAACACTAGATATTTATATTGCATTCCGGTGAAAGGGAAAACAGAACAGGAAACAAGAAGAGCTATTCAATACTTACTAGATCATGAAAGAGTAGATAATATCAGGGGTGATGGTGATAAAGGATTTCAGGCAGCTATGGCTCATTATTTCCCACAAATTAATTTTTACTTTTCATCCTCTCCATATACGTTTCATAATAAAATAGTTGATGCGGTAATGAGAACTCTTAGAGATGCGTTAGGGGTTAACGGTCAGATATACTGGGATGGAAATCATGACTCCATCATACAGCAGTTAGTATATTATTACAATAATACATGGCATAGAACTATAAACATGAAACCGGTGGAAATGAAAAATGATATTTCAAAAGAATGGGAATATATTAGAAAGCAAATGGAAAAGTTAAATGATGTTAAACGTGAACAAATTAATTCGGGGCTCATGAATTTTAAACAAGGATAAAGTTTTAATTCATCTCGATTATGGAAAAACTGATAAATCAATGACAAAAAGAAGACGAAGATTTGACACAATAGCTGAATTTGTTAGATATATTAACGGCAATGCATTAGTTGAAGTTGACAATAAATTAATAGAAATTCCGATTTATTTTATTACTCCATTATATTTAAATAATATTTAATTTTTTTTATTTCGTAAGAAATGAGTGACAACAAAGCAGTCAAGAGTCCAGACAATGAATATAAAAAGAAACTAAACAGAATTAAATCAAAAATATGCTATTACAAAAAGAAGCCGCAATGCGGTGGGGTTGAAAACGATAAAGAGAGAAAGAAATAATCGAAAAATTAGAAACTTACCGTTCAATCATTAAACTGAGTGAAGCAAAAATAAAAGAATTTAATAGAATAAATAAATTGTTGGAAGAGATGAATTTAATAAAGATGAATTTTTAAACTCTATCCAAATTTAATTTTTATTCCTCTTCGACAACATCTCTCTTTCCATCATTACTGCATAACCACATTTTCTCAATTTTAGTGGTTTGTTATTTTTAACATGTTCTTGCATCATTTTTATCATTTCCTCCCTTGTTATGATTCGTGGTAAATTTTGAGCTTGTGGGGTATTCATTTATGAAAAATAAAAATTTAAATTATGCCGTTCTAAAGTTTGTGACAACATGACATTTTGACAACACATGGGTTATTCAATAATTAATTATTTTTGAAGAACTGAAGGGGTCACCAGGTCACCAGGTCATTTAACTTCTCTGAAAAAATGTGACAACATGACATTTTGACAACACATGGGTTATTCAATAATTAATTATTTTTGAAGAACTGAAGGGGTCACCAGGTCACCAGGTCACCAGGTCATTTAACTTCTCTGAAAAAATGTGACAACATGACATTTTGACAACACATGGGTTATTCAATAATTAATTATTTTTGAAGAACTGAAGGGGTCACCAGGTCACCAGGTCACCAGGTCATTTAACTTCTCTGAAAAAATGTGACAACATGACATTTTGACAACACATGGGTTATTCAATAATTAATTATTTTTGAAGAACTGAAGGGGTCACCAGGTCACCAGGTCACCAGGTCATTTAACTTCTCTGAAAAAATGTGACAACATGACATTTTGACAACATCACAGGATTAATGCAAAAATAAATTCAAATCATACTTTATAAAGCTTCATTCACAGGTATTTCATCGTCAGTAAATGAATCCTCATTATCGTTTGGTTCAATTTGTTTATATAATCCTTTCATTTCTTCTTTCAAAACATAATACCATGTGTTTACCATCTATTTTTCTTTGTTTCCTTTCACATTTATCCTTAATGCTCATTTGAAAGTTTTTGTCTTTCATGTCTGATGGTTTGCAGAATAGAGCATTTTTACACGTCATACCTGCACATAATTCATCATAATGTGTATTTATCCATTCATCTAAAGGATTTGTTGATAATTCAATTAAATCTTGTTTGGCTTCAGTCATCGGAATGATTCGTACATTAAATGATGAAAGGTCATATTGCATAAAATATGTTAAAAGGTTATCATAAAATTCCTTTGTGCATGAATCCATTAAATTCTTGAAGTAATCAAATTGACCCTTGAATTTACCATTAACTCTTAAAACTACGTATCTTCTGTCTCCAACTTCAATTTTGACAGGGTAAACGTTATTAGTTACGAAAATGAAGTTTGCAACATTCTGAGCAGTTCTTCTGGGTTGATTCTTTTCATTAATTCTAATCTCATTATCCGTAATAATTGATTTCAAAGCGTTGAAGTTTGCGAGTCTGTCTTCACCTACATTCTTGAGTTCATTAAGTACAAGAAACATTTTATTCTCAACTACTGAATTGAAATTACCCGTTAGCTCACTTATTTCAGTAATGTTTTTACATGAATAACCGGCGAGAAGTTCAGAAATAATGTCTGTAAATCTGTTTTTACCTGTTCCCTGAAGTCCTTTCAAAATAATTGCTGTTTCATTCTTGATTCCAGGATGTTGAATCATTGATGCAATCCAGCCGAGTAGGTATTTATACACTTCATCGTTATTATCACAAATGGCTTCTTTAATGAAATTCATAAACATCTCAATTTTTGAGTAATCTGGTTTTTCGAGAATGTTGTATTTATAACCCTGAAACGTTGAGAAAACATCTGGGGAATCAGATTTAAAGCAAACACCCTTAACGGTTAATGAAGACAATTGATTTAATAGTACATCCCATGCTGTTATGGTTTTACCTTCTTCTTTAAATAATTTAATCATTTTGAGTGACTCTTTCATATTTGACTGAAGAACAAATGATATTTGATTCATTTTGTCGTGGATATTATAGTCCTTTTGAATGAAATATTTATTTCCACAATCTACAAAACGAATTACACATGATAAATCCTCAATTACTTCAGAACTGTTTTTATACTGATGATTTTCAGCCTTGCGTCTAATATCTGTTATCAAAAACGAGTCATCAAGTTTGATATCAAATGTTATTTTTGGCTTACGTAATAAAGGTAAAACATATTCATCATAATATTCCTTTTGATAAAGTTTTAGAATCTTCACCAAAACAAATGGAGAAGTCATTAAATGTGCATATCTACTACGTGCTTTTTCAAAATTACTTTTTGCATTTTCTGTTAAACTGCAGAAGTTATAAACGTTATCGTATGCTTCATTAATTAAATGATTAGGTAACGAATTAATTGCTTGAAACAGTGTGAATAATGTTATTTCTTTTTCTAAATTCATGTTTCCACCATCATTATGTACTTCAAAATCACAGATGCCATCAACTATGCTCTGAGCTAGTTTATCGTCAATGTTTACATCTTTGTTTTCATTCATTATACTCTTTATTTCTTCGCTCTTCTGTTCAACTCTTACCTTAATATTCAAATCATTTAATATATCATTCACTGTTCTAGTTAATGTTGAATCATAACTTCCACGAATGAATGAGTATGTATTGATTGGTTCTGTTGCATTCTTTCGAACTCTTGAATCAGCCATAACCACTAAAGAACGTTTTGAATCATCCATAGAAGTCATTATGTCAATATCATAATCATTGCAGGAATAACATTTAATCATTCTGTTCGAAACTGCATAGAAGAAATTAGTGTTGCAATAAATGTGAAGACCTCCTGATGCGGTTTTAACGATAACATCTTTATCCGAAAGTTTTGATAAAATGTCTTTTCTAACTGTTTCTTTAAGTTCATCATTGTACGATTTATTGATATCAACATCTATAATCGTTAAATTTGAAATTTTATTTACTAATAAAGCTGTACCAGTTTTCCTTCCTCTTCCTCCATCATGTTTGAGGTAGTTATGTAAATCAATCATGTTTTCACCAATTCTTTCGTTGAGGGTTTTAGTTTCTGCCACAACTAATTCCACAACTAATGAATCAATAACTTTTTCATCAGAAACGATAAAGTTGCTGTTGCTGTTTGTTGCTGTCATTTATATAGGAATAAAAAAATAAAAATAATTTTAAAACTAACTTTATTTTTGGACTGCATCAAATTTTCTGTGATGTTGTCAAAATGTCATGTTGTCACATTTTTTCAGAGAAGTTAAATGACCTGGTGACCTGGTGACCTGGTGACCCCTTCAGTTCTTCAAAAATAATTAATTATCGAATAACCTGAAAACATTAACATAAACATTAACGTAAACATTAACGTAAACATTTATTTCTGTAGTTCATCCATTACTTCATTACCTAATTAATTACAGACATAAAATATATTTAGTTCATTCAATAAACACGGTACCATGCGAATACAGTCATAAATGGTGGCATGTAATCTTTACTTTGTCCCGTTGTTTGTGTATATCCTGAAACGAAATGTGTATGGTTTCCTTCTCCCTGAGTGTCACTCCAGTAACAATTTATAGCAAACTTAACGTCGTCTTTAACATCATATCCTTTACCTTTTGTCATTCCTGACCAATCCCAATATCTATGCTTATGCCAACCTGCTTGAGATGTGCTTAAATCTATGTAGTGACTGTGTGCAGGTAAATTTTCACCTGAAATCGTTTTACTTCCACCTGTTTCCTTTGAAGAGTTTGCACAATACAAAAACCTGTCAACTATTTGTTCCCATGCACCAACACCAAACATTACTTGAGGACCTCTTGCATCCATAGATGTATAAATAGAACCTACTGGGTTCATTAAATCAAACATATGAGATATTATAGGATTGTCTCTTTTGAACTTAAAATATAGTGTAACTATTTCAGGTTTCTTCTGGTTTGTGTCAGAATATTTTTTATAATATAATCTTATGTTTTCAGGGTAGGTAAAATCTTGACTATAATATTTATTTCTGTCATCTGTATAATAATATACTATTCTCGTTTTTTCTATTGCATTATATCTTTTATATCTATAATAATCTAAATATAATGTTAACTTTTGTTCATCTACATGTGGTGTTCTGACATCATCTCCATAGTCATAATAATATGGTGCTGGAGCTGGGTCAGCAATGTCATATCTGCCATTTCATAAACTCTTAAATATTTCTTTTGTTCGTCTCCATATAAGTTTAAGTAGCAGTTGTTGTCTAATGGAACTTTAACTTGTGTGCCATCATTCTTTTTATAACTTACATACATTTCATTGTTATTTTTCGGAATGAGTTTATACCGTATACCATTTTTTAAGGAGTGTACAAACTGCCATCTAAAATATTTATTTTCTTCATTGACAGAAAAGTCGCCAACAATAGTTTCAATATTTTTTGTTCCTATCAAACTTTGGTATATTTCGTTAACATATTCCTTATCTGCTTTCTTCCCTAACTCATCATTAACATATGTTTTATCCGCTTTAAGGTCTAAACATCCTGAAACCCATCCTGTATCAGCTTTAGTTTTTAAAATCTTTGATGTCCATTCATGATACCATTCAACCATTTCTTTAATTTCATTATCTTTTTCATCCACATATTCCTTATCTACCTTCTTCATTAACTCACTATCCACATATTCCTTATCTGCTTTCTCCATTATGTCATTAAGGAAACCTTTTATGAATTCCTCATTTAAATTAAATCTTCCAATCTTCAAAACTTTAGGAAATGCATTTAATGCGTAATATCTCTGTTCTTCTGGTGGAATTGATGTTATATCATCCGTTATACCTTTAATTTTTGAATTCATAAATAAAATTTCTTTTATATTTGATATCACTGCACCACCTTTGCAAACGAATTCGAAATGTTCATTTTTCAATACTATCTCCAAATCTCCATATTTCAACCTTTGCGTTTGTTCTGCCGTCTTTGAATTATATGCATATATGGCGTATGTAATGGTCTGAGGGACCTGGGTGCTTTGTGTCTTAAGTTGTTGTGGTTGCTGTTGTTTAATCATTTATTATGATTTAAAAATAAATATTTAATCCGTTATCTCATCACCTATTTTTTCTATTTGAAATTGCCATAATATTTCATTCATGAATTCTAAATCACAATCAAATAGGTCAGTTACTCTAAATTTAATATTTGATAAATCTTTTGAATGAAGAATAAATGAATTCCCAGATAATTGAAACGGATATGATAAAGAAAATATGTTTAAGTTGATGGATAAAATGTTTTGTATTGATGGGTAAGAGTTTAGGGTCTAATGTTTGATGTGAAAATCTCATTGGGGTATTAACTTTATCACATTTGATTAAAATGAAATTGGAACCAGTGTCAGAATACAAAACATCCCAACATCTTTTCAAAATTTAATATCCCCAACAATGAACGAAGATGAGGAGTACAAAATTTAATTTTCAGTGGGAATTTAATAAGGTTATTTATTTCATCAAGTTCAAAAAGTTTATCAGGTTTTGATTTTAAAATTTTCTTCATACCATACGATAAATGATTCATTTAAATAACTTAAATCATGTTAATATCCCATTTCGTTATCACATTATTTATATACATATCATACGTTTTTTCAAGGTCATCTTTAATAAATGATATATAATCTGAAGGGTCTAAAAGAATGGATTAAATTTACCACTCACAGAAACGAGAGTAACACATATAAATTCCGCTAACTGTTAAATTTAATTCACAACTATTATTCGAAATAATATTGATAATTGACATTTTTTATTAAGATTAAAAATATGGTAAAGCGTTATTTTCCAGTGATTAAATAAAACTAGAATAAGATTACCTCAAGAATTCATAAATTCAACGAATAAGAAATTCATTCATGTTATAAATTTTAGTGTTTTCAGAAAATATGAGTCGATGTCATATTCATCATCGGGTTATATTTCACTTCATTCAAATTTAGTTCAATCAAACCCATATAATGACCATTTCATAAGATTTTCAGATGGTATTAAAAATGCAATTGATAGATTAAAATATGAACAGATTGACAATATCGAATTTTTGGAATTTTGGTTTAAATATCCTGACGGAAAAAAGATTGAAGTTAAAGATAAAGCTGATACTATAACAAAAACAATTACAATGACTGATCCAGATAGTGGGAAACAAAAAGAAATAAAACAAACGATAGAAACTGGTGAAAGGTCAATTATTATTGATTATGATTCAAAGGATTATTATTCGTTAATGTTAATGCTTGAATATTAAATAGCCTTAACAAAGAATTTTTCAAGTGATATTTTATATTCATCAACTATTTTATTATAAATATCATTATATGTTAAATGAAGTTCAGTTGTTGTTCCGTTCTTTGATATCTTAATTGTGCTAATATCCTTTATAGGATTTATTTTTGCAACTGTTCCGCAGCATGAAACCTCATCATCTATGAAAAATTGAATCTTAACGTCTGAATCTTGAACATCACAAAGAATGGCGATAATGTGAATTAATGATTCATAAGGTAAAATAATTAAACCGGATTGATCAATTAAATTTATTATTGAATCATAATTATTAATTATTATATCACGGTAAATTTTCATTAATTCTGAATTAATGTCTATTTTATATGGCGCATTGCGACTGGAATCGTAGATTCCTGGGTTCTCGATGTTTGATGAAAGAGGCGGGGGGTATGTTGGATAAGTGGGAATTTCAACAGGTTCTTTACCGGGTTCAGATAAAATGATTGGGTCTCCATCTTCTTTATTTTCCTCCTCCTTTTTCGGTAAGTCGCGAGTTAATAAATTTGGTTGAGTTGCTGACCTTGTTAATTCAGGACTAACATTAACTTTAACATTTTGAATAATTCGTGATTTATCATCATTTACGTTATAACCAACCGTAATCTCTGCTTTTGCGTTAGTGTTCTTTTGACTAGTGAAACGTCTTCTCATTTATAATCGAATAAAAAAAGAAAAATATATTTAAAGTTTTATTTAGTTGTTACGGTAATATCCCAAGGTTCATCCTTGTTTGCTTATACTTTCTTTGTAACTGCACCAATTATGTTATTGATATTGCTTTGAGTTTCTTCCAGTCTTATTTTATCATTTACAATATCTTTAATCATTTCATTACATGCATTCTTAAAACCATCTGATTTTTCTAATTTACGTCTATCACTTTCTTTAATTAAATCAAAGTTATAACCTTGTTGAGAATAAAGTGGTTTCTTTATCAATTCCTTGAACGCTTCTGAAAGTGAAGATGAAGAAATTCTTGCCACTTGAATTGGTTTAAATTCTGCTTTCATTGCTTCTTTCTGTTCATTGAACACTGGATCGAATAAAGCAACTTTAAAGAATTTCTTAGCTGGAATTTCAGGTCTCAAATTGCATATTGACCATCAAACTGATTAACATATCGTGGTAATCCATCCGGTCCCTCTTCAACAGCATTTAATTTTCATTGAAATAAGAATATGGAATAAGATGGTATGAATACATTGGACCATTTTCACCTTCTCCAATGTATTGTTTAACAGCTTTTCCATTTTCATCAAATTGCATAGGATAACATTCATTATATGCTTTACGTTTAGGATAATCCGTCATTGTTAATTTATACCCATTTATGACTTTAATATTTCCTTGACCATCAGTAACGAAAACTTCATTTATACCATCAGGCTTTCCATTTGGTCCTGTAATGTCTGCTTCATGTGCTTCCCAATTTGGTCCATGACGTTTGGCATATGCTTGAGCTTCTGGTAATGTTAAAACGTTTCTCATTTGTTTAACATCCTTTTGAAGACCGGCAACAATGTGGACTAATTCTTTCATTCCGTCTGGAACTTTCATAGTTCTATTATATGCACCCTTTTTGTTTGTCCCTTGTTTTAATGGAACCTGTAGAAGATTTGCTATTTCTGTCATGTTTAATTATAAATAAAAAATAAAAATTAATTATAAAAAGTTAATCAAATTTAACACCTCCTTTATTTAAATCAACTATTATTTTTCCATGTTCACCTAATTGTTGATATTGTGTGTAAAGTTCATTAATGCTCATTGGTAAATTCACTTGATAAAGCATAACGTT